AAATAAAACAACCCCTGAAAATAAGCCCTAATGCATTTTGGAGCAAAAATTAATATAAGACTCTGCCTTATTTTTTGGGGAAAACGGTACTTTATTTTCCAGTTCCTTACTATAATTAATCTTGCTGCCGTCAATAAATTGGAAATGAATTCTTTAGTTGTCCCACAACATTGCTCCCTATCAAAAACTGATAAAAGTGCATAAAACCATCAGGTTCTTTGCAGTTCTGAAAAATGCGTAAATACAACCTCAGATGAACATCAACACATGACATAATACACTGTGTCATGATTTATATAACAAAGATGAAGCCAAAATAGAGAAAAAAAAATTAATGTTACATTTAATGGCACCGTTTGAAAAATGTTATATATATTTCATCAACTGTACATCCTCACAGTCCAATAATCAAAGTTCCCTGTACAATAAAGACAAATAGAATACATATAGCAGAACAATGACTGAAGAACACACAATACAGTCAAGATAGAAGTAGCCACAAGTTAGGCCACTATAATGTAAAACATTAATCATCATTATGCACTGTCAAGTCTATTCTGAGTTATGGTGACTCTTTTCAGGGCTTTCCAGGTAGCAAATAATCAGAAATGTTAAATATTAAAAGAGATCTTAAACTTCCTGGGAGAATTTTATTTATTAATTATTATTATTATTTTACTCTGTGCCATAAAGTAGGTACCAGGTAATCCTCCCTTTGAAGCCACCCACCTTGTCTCATTTTGTTGGGAGACCTTGAAGAAGACCCTGGATGATGAATTTAGGATATACATGGGCAAGATCAAAGCAGAACCTGCCAACATTTTGTTTCTATTTGTTTCAGCCAATAGGTCTTACCAACTTTACTGAGAAAGCAAAGAATTTAGCAAGCATGGGATTATTACTACAGGAGTAAAATCTACCTCCTAAAGCCAGAAGAATCTGATACTATGACTTACAATTAGATTACACTAACTAGTAAAAATACTTGCAAAGATAGCTCAGTGGTTTAGGCATCTGGCCGAGGAGCCAGAGGCTGGGAGTTCAATTCCCCACTGTGCCTCCTTGACAGGGGCTGAACTTGATGATCCATAGGGGACCTTCCGGCCATGCAGTTCCAAGAATATTATTACTACTATAAAATGTAATAGGCACCTACCTTTTTTAGTATTAATAGGTCCACCTCGCATTGCCAGTATCAACTTCAAAGTGCAACCTTCTGAAATGCTATAAACAACAAATATATTTTGTAGTCTTTCCCTCAGTATTTATAATCTTTAGAAATGTTTTATATAATTTCTTTAAATACTCACCCATAATCAATCAGGCAATAATCATCTTCCAATTCCATGTTATTCCAGATTAGGTGCTGCTGAGATACAGGAATACCTTAAAACGACATCATTAAAACGTAATTGCCCTATTAAAGTTGCAAAAAACATTAAGGCAGGCATTCTAAACGTATTTACTTAGAAATAAATTCTTCCAAAATTAATGGAATACATCCCAAATGATATACATTTGGGCTTAGGAGACATGGCTTATTGTCAGACAAAAAACACCTCCTATAAAGCTCCTTAACCTGTTTTCGGATGCCACTGGAAGCTCACATGCATAAGGTAAACCTGCAACTATTTGTGAAAATGAATTTTCTTTCTTTTATATGGACATTCTTCCTTTATTGTGACATTTCAGTGAAGCATCAGATCTCACCTCCTAACTTCATGTCAGAACATCATCTATTAATTATAGTAGGGCCATGGCACCGGTGCAGGATCAGTTCCACGGATGCCAGAAAGCGTAGATACAGAAACCCCATGTATAGCATAGTCTCTGGTTCCCTCTGCTGGCCATTTCTGGTAAATGTTGCATTTTAATATAGTTTATTATATATTTGTTTTTATATTAGCATTGATGTTTTGATTAGTGTGTATGGTTACATTTTTTTGTCTATTGTTTTGTTTATAAATTGCCCAGAGTGGCCTTTGCTTAGATGACTGGTATATAAATCAATCAAAAAACCCAAACAAAATAATACATCTTGGAAACGCTTATATCTGAGTTCTTTCATTTAACATTTTCAGATACATAGCGGATAAGTGGAACCATGGGTACTGATTCCACAGATGCTGTATTCTAATTAAAATTTATTTCCTAAAAAAATACAACTTAATAAAAAATGGGCCTTAAACTTCACCATGGTCATGTTTACCCACACCAAATTTGTCCTGGTCCTTAAAAGACAAAGCTATTTGCTTCTAGGATTTGAAGTGTGTGGCAAGATGTCAGATCAAAAAGTGCAAGAAATGCATAGATCTTGATAAGAAAAATCTTAAAGCTATCGGTATTAAACTAGGTTTTCATCCCAGCTTAAAATCAAGCACGAGCTAGTCATAATTTTTCTACAAACTTACTTCTTGCTCCCTACCATTTTTAGTAAAATAAAAAGGACACGTACCTTCCAATCTCTGGATTTTAATTTTCACGGAAATAACTGTTTCAAAAGGAGACACACGAAGCTCAAAGTATGTTCCCGTGAGAGTTTCAATGAAGAGCTCCATGGTCTCATGGAATGTAAGTTTGCAATGGCAGGGTCCTACATTATTGTCATTGAAAAAGGGAGGTTCCTTTTTGCTGGCCATTCTAGATAACTCTCTTGCACCTCTCCCTGGAAAGAAAGCTGTGAAGCATGGGGCACTGCTGAGCTACCCTTCAAGTCACGTTAGCTCTGAACACGAGAACTGTGTGCTGTCATTCATGATTCATGGATTTCATCTAAGAGAAACACAAAAACAATAACCAAGGCATTTGAGGAAATAACATTCACAGAAACATAACAGGAAATGTGTTAAAAAATACAACTGTGAACTTAATTTGTGAAATACAGACCAGAAGTGTCACCAGGTAGGGGACCTCTTTTGGCCTATTTGCATATTCATGCTGGAGAACATTCACTTTTACATATTGTTATTTGACTCAGGAGCACCTGTTTAAGCTGCATTTACAAAAACTGTTTTGACTATGTTAAGTGCAGCTACTCCACAAGAGTCATGCATTGACCATCTAGGAAGAGTCATAAAGTACTGCAGTTAAAGTCTTCTTGTAAATGAGCACATCCTTTGTTTACTCACTTTGTTACACTTGTATACTGCATTTTCGTTATAAATCTGACATCAATAAATCACCATAAAAACCATTAAAATTCAGGGCTTAAACATTAAAGCCAACAGTTTGAATTGAGTCCTGAAAGCAACTAATGATGAGTGCAGGTCTTTCAGCATTGGATTGTGATACCATGTAAGAATTAGAACCCTATCTGTTATATATTTGCACCAACTGAAGATATTTATATATTCATTCGATTTATACCCTGCCCCCCCTAGACAGCGTCTACTCGGGGCAGCTTACAAAATCATAAAATATCATTAAATAACCATAAAAACATCACAATCAAAAATAAACAACATTCATAATCGTAAAAACATTGGATTCTGTTTGGGTAGCCCCACATAGAATAAAGTGCAGCAGTAAAGACATGATCCAACCCCTGCATTGATGACTGTTACTGTGTCTGGCAGGTTGTGTGCACAGAGTTGTGCAAAGGCACTCCTCATCACCACTGCCACCTGCGAATCCCGATACAGTGCAGTGTTAAGAAGCACTCCCAGACTACAAACTTGACCTGTCAGGGGGAACACAACCCTTCTAGAACAAGCTGAATCTAATTTCAGAATTTTACCTTCTACTGACCAGCAGCATCTCCATTTTTCCCCGATTTAACACCAGCTTGTTCACCCTAATCCTTCCCATCATCAAGCTAAACCATCAATGGGCCTGACTACTTCCTTCATGTTGAATGACAAGGGGCTGTTAAGCTGCACATCATCAGCATATTGATGGCACCTCACTCCAAAGCTATGAATGACCTCTTCCAGTGACAATAAGTCGATTATGACTCCTGCTGGAGCAACCTCAGCATGAAAGTTGAAATCCAACAGGACAATAAGCCTGGGATAGTCCAATGGCAGCTTATTTACACTATACAGTGCAACAAATTTTACGAGAAAATTAAACCAAATATTTTGAATTCACAGAAATAATTGTTTGCAGGACCATAGGCATCGTTAAGGCATGCATAAAGGAAGACACTGTAGGTGCAATCTATATTTTGACAAAATGACCACTCAGTTTACAGTAGCTAAGCAAGAAAAATATCTATACAAGCACACGTGAACCTGAAGCAAGTGAGAGGGTCTAAACTTCATACAAGTCTATTTTTTCCTCAAGAATCCCATTGCACATACATAAATGTGAAATTTGAAAGATGACAACAGTGATTCTTTTGGAGAAGGGTTTTTAACACAGAGAACAGCAAAATACCTGCTGTTAAGAAGGGACAGTGTTTGCGAAGCAATGGAAATAAGCAACAAAGAAGAACCAAAGTACCAGCTTGGCTCAGAGGCAGACACAGTGCCTATGGAGATGGCTGCTTCCCAAGCAGTGTCAGTAAAGTGTGCTGGTCTAACCTATTTTAAGCTGTCATCCCCCCCCCCCTTTTATTTGCCTCTGTTCTGTCTTTAAAAACCACATTTTCTGAAATAGAAATATAATCTCCATCAGGAATAGGCTCTTTTGCTGCTCCAAGTCTGAATTCATCGGGCCCAGTCACAAACGCGCTAAGATGCAGAAAACCACTGTTACTAAACTGTGTATTCCAGAAAAGGAGGTTTCCAACTACTGGTACAAATCCTGTCCCTCAAGGGTCATCTTGGCATTACTATTCTGAGAAGCAGCTTCTGGAAATTTATTAATCCATGCAGTGTGACAAAGTGTTCATTACCTTCTCTACAACCTCAACTCTGGGAGTCAAATTTGCGCTCCCACAGGAACTGCATGGAACATTATTAGTTTATAAAGACTTCTCATCTCTAACAATCACAACAACCAACAATATATTATTCAACTGTAAATAAGAGGGATAAACTTTGGATGGTACAAAACTACCAGGAATGACTCGTGAACTTACCAGGTGCCCTTTGGCAACTTAAGGACTCTCAGATAACCCTCCACCCCCACCCCCGCCCCCGTTTACAATACAGAGATTTACTACTAGACTAAGTAAGGCTTTCTTATTGAGAGCCAGTGTGGTGTTGTGGAGACGTCAATGGCCAAGGGCTTATGATATCTGGGTTCGAATCCCTACTTGGCCCCTGGAAACTCACTGGAGAAACTCACTGCTTCACACACCTTAAAAAAACACTTCCCTCTCAGGGTCGCTATAAGTCAGATGATGCCTCGAGAGCACAGAACTACAATAAGGCATCTTTAAAGGATCGCCGAAACAGCAAAGTCCCTGGAAACGTCGAACTACGAAGCTGCCCACAGTCTTAAATGAAAGCCACACGTCCACCTAACTTGCGCGGTGGACCACCGCAGCCCTCGCCCCCCCCCGCTTCTTTTTCTTTTTCTTCATCATCATCTTCCTCCTCCTCCTCTTCCTCACCTGTCTTTCGAAACTGCTATCGCCTGACGGCCGCAGATTGGGGGTTAGGGGTTGGGGGGGCTGACCTCCAGATCGCCTTCCCTTTTACAAAGCCGGAGGTCTCCCTGCAAGATGTTCGCCCATCACGGAAAGGGGCCGGAGGGCAGGCGGGGAAGAGCCGCAGCTGCCCCGAGGACGCGGCCAGAACAACGGAACTCTGCTTACTCGCCGCTCCGCCGCTCCGGAGCCTTTGTGACGGCAGCCGCCAAGCAGCTCAGACGTTCCCTCTCGCCCAAGCAACATCCAATCAGGGGGCGCCGCCGGGGTTGGAAGGGGGCGGGGCTTGGCGCCCACCCCCCCGAGGCAGCGGCTACCGAACCTTCGAAGTTTCCGCGTCTGTCGCGTGCTGTTGTCAAGCGAGGGAGCCGGATGTTGTCTGTGCTCGTCGCTAGCGGCAACCCGTGCTCGTTCACACCGCCGGCGTCGGGGCTGCTGGGAAATGTAGTTCAGATTAGACCAGGGGGTTCCCGCGCCTGTTTCGAAAACGTCGAGGTGCCCGCCCTTCGGCGTCCCTAGGCGGCTTGGGACGTTTTAATCGGGGCGAAAAAACACAGCAACACGAGTGTATTATGTGAAGGGCACGTGAGCGCCCCGCGCTTCCGTCGCTCCTGGGCTCTCCGTTTCGATCGAGAGAGAGAGAGAGAGGGGTCATGGTTGAAGGATGCTGAACCTTCCTGTGACCCGTTGGGTTCCTTGTGTGAGTGACCGGGCAGGAACTTCAAGCCTCTGGTTTCTATCCTCCCCGATTCTGAACCGCAAGGTTCCGCTTCTGGACAATATATTCCGTTTCGTAATTCAGAAATAAAACCTGGCTACACACACTGAGAATCGAGATGAGCGGACCAGATCCTGCAAAAGGAAAACACTCCAGGGTCACCGTCTGTAGAACTGCAAAAAAAAAGTTGTTTCGGCTGTGAAAGTGTGTGTGTGTGAGAGAGAGAGAGAGAGTGAGAGAGAGATAGAGAGAGGGGGTGGTGGTGGCAGTCGCTGAAAAGAGATGACCAAAAAGGAAACAAAGAATACCAAAAGGAGGACATTATTCGGGTGGTGGTGGTGGCAGTCGCCGAAAAGAGATGACCAAAGAGGAAACAGAACAAAGAATACCAAAAGGAGGACATTCTTCACAAAAAAGGAAGAGCATTTGCATTAAATGTGTGTATGCATTAAATGTGCGTAAGCTAATTAAAACTATTATTTAACTAACACAATTAGATGTCATTATAAAAGTGGGAATCCACTACAGGTGGATTGCACAAGTCTGTGATTGGATAACCACATTGGGAAATAGCATTGAAATACAGGATATAAATCAAATAAATATGTATGTTCTCCATCTTTTTCAGTAAGCATGCAGAGTGGCTCAGGTAAAAAATATCCTTAATTTACTGGCGTTTGTCAGACTTCCTTTCCTTGTTAACACCATTCCAAGTAAAGATCTCTTCAGACCTGGAAAGCTCTTGACTTGTCACATACTATTTCTTGAGCCTGTTTAGTGACCTTGTGGGCCAAGCAGGTGAATATCCTCTAGGACCAGACTATCAAGTACATACAGATGAAAGAGCAGGACCATCTACCAGCTGGGTGAGACTAGGAACTACCAGCTGGACTCACAAGCGCAAAAGCAGTGGTAATATGGGACTGATGATGGGCAAAGTTGGGGAACTTTCAGACAACCTAAGATTTTATCAGGGAGTAAAAAGGACCCACATTGCCTTGGACACCTAGCTTCTATCCCTTCAGGACTGAGGGATGTTCCCAGGACCTGTCCTCATAGTAGGATGATCCAGAGAGCATTTAGTGCCACCTATCATCTATGGTTCATAGGGATTTGGGGGGGGGGCACAGGCTTCCCTGTATTGTTTCATAGGGCTACACTACACTTCCATCCTTAGTCTTTTCTGGGGTTCACTAACTAGGGCTGGGAGGCTGTACTGCTCACACTGCATGTTGTCCAGTGGCAGGGCTGGCTTCTGCATAGTCATTCCCCTGTGCTTCCAGTTGGTGAAACAGTTTTTATGTTGACTACTCGATCAGGTTCCCAAAGTGGTCTATATGGACCCCCAGGGGTTGATTTTGACTTGCAGGGGGTCCATGTCAGAGAGAGAACAAATTGGGGATGCAAGTTTAGACTTGTATCAAAGCTTTGCAGGGGGCAGGGGGTCTATGGAAAACAAATAAGTCGGCAAGTGGTCTATGGGGCAAAAAAGTTTGGGAACCAGTGGCCCATGAATACAGTGCCATTTGACATCATTTCTGGATGCCACTGTAGCAGATTGCCAAGGCACAGCTAGAGCTCCTGCTGGTGGGGTGGAAGCTGTAGTAGTGAACCACAATGCCCTGCCACACACATCCCTTGCAAAAGAGGAGGATCCTATCCCTATTAGTAACCAGGAAAGAAATATGCAGTGAGCAATAGAGTATTTCATTGGTGGTCTTCATTTGAAATCCTGAAATCATGCAACAAGAAAAAACTAAGAAGACAATATAACATTGATTTCACAAATGCAATTTACCAAGTCAGTGATTTTACTTGTGTAGCATCTAGACTGTGTACAATAGATTACATTAGCAAAGGAACTGATAAGCTAATTGGAACAGGACTGCTACAGAGTATTGGATTTCTTTTTACAATATATTTCTTTAGAAATCATGCAAGGAAGAATATTTAGATATGTGAGTGAAGAGATAGTCAAAGAATATTCACATCATCATTACACTGTTTTTTTTTAAATATCAGAAACCAAAGAGATTGGCACCAGGCAGGATAAAACTCAGTAGTCACATCTTCATTGGCCTTCAAAAGCATTCAGTGGATCTTCAAAATTACTTGATGCTTTGAATTCACTTTTAGTTCCCGAGGCTGTCTGAAATGACGGAGCTTTTCTAGTGGATGTCTTGGATTGACTACTGGATGAGAAGATGTCATCTGGGGGAAAATGAATATTATTTATATACCAATAAAGGTATATTTCACATTAAATTTCATCTGCAAGCATAATAAATTTGATTTGTATTGACAGTGATTTCTAGAGTTTGGCCAACTTGGTATTAAATTTCTTTTATTTTAAAATCAAATACTGTACTGTAAGAGGGAAGGTGGCGGGAAATCACCAAAAAAGAAGGAAAAAAAGAGATAGGAAGACCTCAAAATGCTACTTGTGTAAAAAATTATAATACAGTAAAACGTCCTTGTGCATTACACAATTTGGTAAATTTTACAAGGGTCTTTTAGTATTTTATATATAATTTCCCAGTACCTCTTGTAGCTTTGCTTCCTTCTTTGCTTTCATTTCAGAAGAGCTTATGGTTATTTTGTTGCAACAAAACAACAGTTCATGACATTTTAAAGACAAGGGCCAGTATTCCTGTGCCATAATATGGAAGGACAATCACATAAGCATTCTCACTCTCCAGTAGGTTTCCCTTTGCATGCCCAATCTCACACAGCCTGTTGGATATGTTGCACAACTAGTGTATGATTGGTCATTCAAGATAGGTCCTTCAAGGTATAAGACAAACTTCTGTAGTTGTCTCTACACTCTGAATAGGACACCAGCCTATCAAATTTTATATGGTGTAACCTTTCTTGGACTATAAAATACATATTTTCTTTTCTTTCAACACCACTAAATAAGTGACACATTTTCACAATGTTATTGTGAAGGTTATTTTTTTAGCAAAGGGCAGGACTCTAGTTTTCCAAAATATTCTTGCTCCTTGAGTAGGTTCATGCATTCTCCCTTGCAGAGCGTTTATGACTGGAACTGCTTTCCAGTATGTCTCTATGGAATAACCTCTGCTACAAACGTCTCCTCTAAATTAAATCTGTTAAGCTTTTGAAACAATATTGTAGACACAATTTCTATTATAACTAAGGTCAACTGCACAAAACAGAAATCATCCTTGTATCCATTTCCCCCTCTTTCTTTCATTGGTTTCCTTGTATTTGTTTTTAGATAGCTAAGCTTTTAAGTGTAGATGTCTCTCATTTTGCATAAAGCACACAGATGGTGTTAGCTAAAGAGAACAAAAATATCAACGGCGCCTCCAGATGTCTAGAGCAAAAAGCAAGGCATATTGGCCAACAGAGCAGTCAAATACTAATTATGTGATTATTGGGAATCTTAACACAAAACCACCTGCTACAGAAACACCTAAGAAACTTTAGGCATTGCAGAGGACCTCAAAGTACAATCTTTCCCCCCCTGCATGCTAATCAAAAAGGATGTAATCTAGATGTCAATTAAATGCATCTTTGCATTTAATCTACAGGTTTTAAAAAACAAATAGCATTACCTTGTGTGTGAGAGAGAGGGAGAGAATTACTAGGATGACTACAGGCATCTGGAATGTGTGCAATAATTTTCTCTCTTGATGTGATCCTAAGAAAACCCTCCACCTTGAAGATGCCATGGACAAATTCAGGCAGACAGGTGCAGAGGACAGAAATTCCATAGGAAAACAGGAGAAACTCAAACCCCAATTCTACATGGCTATGGTTCCAATAATGATCAACATACCTCCATGTTGATGGTATTTACACAATTACTAATATGCCTCTCTGGGTAAAGCTGAGCCAGAACTGAGACCTCGTTATGGCATATTTCCCATGTCTCTTTCAAGGGTACATTCATAAGGCAATCCTACACCTGTGACAACTTCTGATCTTACGTGACATACATTCAGAGCCATTCAGCTCTCCTCATGGCTTTCTGAAGAGGTTTATTGGGTATTTTGACACCGCCACATCCTTTGTACCACTACAGTGTTGCTTTTCATGCAGAATCACCACTTAGTTAAATATACAGAAACAGGCACTGTATTCATTGGGTATTTTGACACCGCCACATCCTTTGCACCACTTAGTTAAATATACAAAAACAGACACTGTATTCGCATTGCAGATCTAAAGGGTTCAATGAACTCATTACCTGTGTCCTCATCAAATATTGATTTAGCTTCCACTTTCTTTTTGGTGCTCTTTTCTTTTGGTTTTTCAGCAAGATCAGCAAAGATGTCAACATCATCATCAAACAGGTTTGGCTCCAATTCTTTTGCTTTCACAGGCAGCTTAACAGCTTCTGAGGCAAATATGTCGTCCTTGAACAAAAGAGATATTTCAGTACAGGGCAGGTCTTTGTAGCAATGCACCTTCTTCCAAGCTGGTACCTGGCAATCCAGATGCTACTTCAGTTGTTTTCTGACTTTGTAAGGCAACTACCCAATGATAAGAGTTTTGAACTAGCACCGAAAGATATGAGTGGAAATAACATTTCTGGTATGAACTCAATGGGTGGTTCTGAATTGCATGCTCTCCTATTGCTCAGGTTTCAGCTGCAGAAGGTAATTGTAGAGGAATAGTATATAGATTGGTGTAGGAATAAATGGCTGAATTCCAATAATGTCACAACTAGAGTAAGTCCATTTAATCAATAGAACTTATGTACAAGTGGACTTGATGTAATTGGCCTACTCTACTGGATTAAAGCCAATGTGTAGGATTTAACTGGTCATTGCTTGCAGATGTTAGCAGAGCAGTGTGATCTCCGGCCACATGAAACTCACTTCTTTACAGCTCCACTAACAAAGACCTAAAGAAGCCATTAAGAATCTCTGAAGGATGAATAAAGAGCTTAAAACACATTGACCCAAATTCAAATATTAGTCCTAACTAGAGGAAATCCACTGGAAAAAAATATTTAATTCAAATATTAGTCCTAACTAGAGGAAACCCACTGGAAAAAAAATTATTTATTTTAAGTACAGTGGTGCCTTGCATTACGTTAATTCATTCCAGCGAAATCACTGTAGAACGAAAAAGGTCGTAATGTGGAAAGAAAAAACCCACTGAAACGCATTAAAACCCGTTTAATGCGTTCCAAAGGGCTGTAAACTCACTGTCCAGCGAAGATCCTCCATAGGGTGGCCATTTTCACTGCCTGTGCAGCGAGGAATCCGTCCCAGAAAATAGCGGGGGGGCATTTTGTTTACCTGGCGGCCATTTTGAAACTGACGATCAGCTGTTGGAAAATCGTCGTTTTGTGAAGAATCGGTTCCCGAAGCAGGGAACCGATCATCGCAAAGCAAAATTCCCCCATAGGAAACATTGTAAAGCGATCGCAAAAGCGATCACAAAAAGTTCATCATAATGCAGTTTCGTCGTTAAATGGGGCAATCGTAAAGCGAGGCACCACTGTATCTGTATCCCACCTTTCTTCTCAAAAGGACTCAAGACGGCTTATATTACAACAAACAATATAAAAAGCTTAAAATTTATTATAACATTAAAAAAAGAATTAAACAGATACTGTATTAACTTAAAAACTCATGGAGAAACAAGTTTAAAAGTCCTAAAAATGCATTTAAAACAACAACAACCACCGCCTCATTTTTAAGAATTCCTTCCTAGGCAGCCAGTTACAAAGGGAAAACCTGTGTGAAGAGAACAGTCTTTGTTTCCTTGTGCAACTACAGAAAAAGAGGATGAAGCCTGGCCTCCCGTGGAAGGGAACTCCTCGGCTTGGCAGCAGCAACAGAGAAGGTCCTCCCTTATGTTCTTTCTCTCTGCCTTGTACCTGTGAGGGTGGCAAGGCTGAGAGAAAGGCCTCCCCTCATGATTTTAAAACGTGGTCAAGCTCATAAAGTGGGGTTTTGTGGATAGCTTGGATCCACGTCATTTTGGGCTTTGTAGATCAAAACCAGGACTTTGAATTGTACCCTGAAATGGGCCAGCAGTCAGTGGAGCTGTTGTAACAGGAGAGTTATGAGGTCCATGTGACAAGCTCCACTTGTCTTGCAGCTGCATTGTGGACCTGCTGGGGCTTCCAAATACTTTCTGAAGGCAACCCCACACAGAGCATATTACCGTTATAGGATGTAACCAAGGCACATGTTACCATTTGATTTACACAAATGTTGATTCCCATGGTGACATATGCCTTTGTTACATCCCATTTGGACTACTGTAACAAGGGAAGGGGCGCTGCTCTCCTGCAAGGGGCACTGTGGGAACGGTTAGCAAAATTTTAATTTTAATTTTGTACTAAAAAGGGGAAGGGTTCCTTCGCAAGAGTCAATGTGTTTCTGGAAGGGGAATAGGGGTCTGTAAATTGAGGAAAAACAGAGTATCATTCTATCCAATTTTGAGTCATTTGCAAATTTGACAAGCATTCCCTGCACGTGACATATGCCTTTGTTACATCCCATTTGGACTACTGTAACAAGGAATAAGTAGACCATAATGCCCCTCTTGTTACCTCCTTCCTGTTTGTGAAGAAAAATGTTGAATAGCACCAGGCCCAGGACTGAGCCTTGCAATGCCCCTCTTGTTACCTCCTTCCAGTTTGTGAAGGAACCATTGATAAGCACTCTCTGAATAAAATTCTGTAACCAACTGTGTATCCACCTGATTAATTGTTCTATCTAGCCTTCACCTAGATATCTTGCTAATCAGGATATGGGGAACTTCATCAAAAGTTTTGCTGATGTGAAGATAAATTATGTTTACAGCATCCCCGCCATCTACTATCATTCTTTGTTACGTTCAATGAGCACATAGGCTAAAAATATCTGTATGTTCATTGCTGACATAAAGAAACCATTTGATGCGTGAAAAATGATTTAGCAACTTCAGGACCACTTAAATTCAGTAAGCATGGATCTAATGAGTAGTTGGATATGAGACTGTTGGAATCTTTATGTAAGTAAAGACACAAAGCAAATTTCTTATAATATTATTAGAAGAAAGAGAATAATGAGCACGAACCTCTTGAACCTGACTCAGATTTGTTGAGAAAAAAAAAAATCTCTTCTGAAGGCTATTCCTTTGTCTGTTCTCAAATAATAAACAGTTCACTAGCAAGAAAATCAAGCATGCCCATCTCCTACATACTTCTACAGTTAATTTGCATTTCAAAATGTTAATGTAATTTTATAGTGAAATATCACATACAGTGGTGCCTCGCTTAACGACTGTCTCATTAATGACGAAATCGCTTGACAATTAGGTTTTTGCGATAGCAAAAGTGATCGCAAAACAATGGTTTAAATGGGAAAAATCCACTTCACGATGATCATTTCCCTGCCTTGGGAACTGATTTTCGCATTAGGACAATCTAAAAACAGCTGATTGTCAGGTTTCAAAATGGCCGCCGGGTGTACAAAATGGCTCCCCACTGTTTTTAGGAGCCATTTTTCACTATACAGGCACCCGAAAATGGCCGGCGTATGGAGGATCTTCGCTGGACGGTGAGTTTTCAGCTCACTGGAACGCATTCAATGCATTTCAATGAGCTTTTTAATTTCATTTTACGATGTTTTCGCCCTACAGCGATTTCGCTGGAATGAATTAACATCGTCAAGCAAGGCACCACTGTATTTTTATTGTATCATCATTTTGAAAGAGTTTCCAGTGTATACTGCTCCAAATGCCTATACAACTGCTAAGCAAAAACAGCAGAATCTGAAAAAAGAAGAAGAATCCAAGTATGAAGGAAGAGTTTCTCAAATTACCTCAAAAATATCTTGTACTGGAGGGTTCTGCTCTGACTGAGTAGGAGGTTTTGGATCTTTTCTCTTCATAGTTTTGCTTGTGGTGAAGAGATCCTCTTTATCCTTTAGCAAAGAGGTAGAACTGGATTTTTTTGATAGCTTTGCAGGCTGGAATAAGTCTTCACAATTTGCACCATCTAAAGACGATGAAGCAGACAACTGCCCACTGTCTATAGAGATTTGGCTCACATGGCTCTCTGTTTCCACTGTAGTTTTTGACCTCGAGCTGACTTTATGAGATACACTGCTGGCAAAAAGATCATTTGATTCAAAGAGATCATCTGTGTCCAGTTGGGCTGTGGATTTTAAGACAGGGCTAGTTCTCACATGAAGCTGGTCCTTGCTGCTGGCTGACACAAACAATTTAGCTTTTTCAGTATTTTCCTTCCTATGTCGCTCATTTTTGTAGGGATACAATACATCTTGTTGTGAAGAACCTTCTGTTGAGAGAGGCAGAGATAGACTGTCAGGGATGTTCATTTCATTCTTGCTGGAGTCTTGAGCAGCCAATCGCCTCGCAGCTCTGGTGGGTGGCCTACGTTTCCCAGTCATCTTGATTCTGCCCTGCAATTACAATAATATTTAGTGACATCAAGACACAAGATGAGAAATAAGCACAGTTTTCTGTTAGTAATCAAAAGAGGCAATGGCCTATCCTTCTAAAAATCAATTAATACAGTATGTTGAACTTAGTGTTCATTTACATCAACAATAAACTATACCTGTTAATATGTTCAGTTACTACAAGGAACTCATGTGGAAGGAGGCATACACAGATTTAGGAGACCAAGGCCACATTTTGAATTCCGTCAAGAAGCCCTAGGGAAATGAGATAATACATACTCTGCCAGCCAGCAACTTAGTTGCAAGAATTTGTTCAAAAGGAAATAAAGGGAGCCCAACACAGGATTAATTAGAGCCATTCAAATGAAAAGTTGCAACAGCCAGATAACTGCACTTCCTAAAGAGAACTTGATGAAATCATCCACAGCTGATAGATGATTCCTATAGCTGCACGCTTCATCCATGCTTTTAGAAATAAAGCTGCTTCTTAAAATGGGCAGTGTAATTCCATCAAGAGTAGCTATCTCTTCACATCCCAAATCAAGCAGATTTCTGACTATCAATATATTACTTGCATTGATTTCTTGTTCTTATTGATATCAGCAGGACAAGGATCACAATTTCTATCTCTATAATTACAGGGAAGTCTTTCCCAACCTAATGCTCTCTAGAAATGGTGAACTACAACATTCACTATCCCTACCAAGCATGGCCAAATTGAAGGAGGCTATTGTAAGGAGTCTACCAGTGCTGAGGTTTTTGCTTTCTTCTCTTACTGCTGATGTGAACATGAGGAATGGAGTGATGGACAGATTTCAGATTTATTGTGCTTCAGCTTAAAGGGTATGGCCAATTCAGCCCTGTCACAGAAGAGGCACATCCAGGTTCCAATTCCCAGACTATCTACAAAAAGGACCCAGAAGCTACTCCCTCTAGCAAGTATAGGCTCACTGGACTTTTGTGTGGCCTGTCCTATGCCTGCTGAAGTCCCCAACAACAGTTCAGATGGTGTCCCAAGACAAATACGTCAATTACTTTCTCCAAGGGTCATAGTTAGGAGGCATGATGGACACTGACTTCTTTCTAGGTAAGTAAAGCAGTCAGACAACATCAGTGTGGACAGGACTGGTATCAAGGAGTAGATAAGTCCAGTAAGGCTACCAGCCATCTAACAGGGTTAAGGTGGGAAAGTTAAGGTCTGTATCTAACTCACCAGTTTCATTAAAAATTCTGAGTTTTTCTGATACATCACTAAGCGCAGTCAGTTGTGTGAGCCATCCTCTTCTACCTATTTCCTAGAACCCAGGGACTTTTAAGAGCTCCTGCTGTGTGTCCTTGACTGACTTGTCTGGAACTCCAGATTTCTAGTCCAGGCACCTAAAGGAGTGCCCAAAACTGGAAAAATGAATTACTCTTTCCATGGAGTTTTCCCTTTCTGATTTGCAGAATCCACTCCACTGAGCAAAACGAAACCCTCTGGAAGAGATTTTACAACATTGGAAGTGGATGACTGTCCAGTTCTTGTTTTGTTTGGAGGGGGTGGTGCAACTTCCATTAGGTCCTGGGGGCTGAAAATTGGCTCCTGGGTCTTTGGAGCTTGCTAACTTCACCCTCCATGTACCTCCAAGGCCATCTGGAGACTAGAGCAAGTAATTAACATTCCATTAGAAGTGACACATCTGTTGTGATTTGTTGGTTAATGATGATTTCTTAAGATGCACTGTCAATGTTTTGTATTAAAATTTTACCTTGTTGGCATTCTGTAAAGTGTTTACTTGCAAAGGATAATCAAAGCTGACTCCCATCTCCTCACTGCTTCCGGCAACACAGGCTATTTTGGTATGCGGTATGCCATGAGGCTCATAGGCTGGAGTCTTGGGATACAGTAAACATGGTTTCAGTTTCTGAGTAGGCAACAAAATTGCCACATTAGTGTCAACATTTGCCTTAGAAAGTGACAGACAAATATCGTTATTGGCAGCAGTCGGCAAGTACAGATGCAAGGTCCAAGGTACAGATGCTACATTTGACAAGATCAGGAATTAGGAAAAATTGGGGGGAGGGTAGCAATAGTGGAAAGACAAGACACCTTCTTGGCCTCTTCCCACCTCATTCACATTCAGGGTTCAGCCATAACCAGAAATGTCTTTCTGAAACCCAAAGACAGTACATAAGGTCAAATGTGCAATTTACAGGAAATAGGATTGTATACACAACAAAAATAGCCTGAAGTGCAGAATAAAAAAAGAATTACTGTAAGAATTACAAATAAGAAAAGTATGTTCAAGTTAAAATTCCAGTAAAATAAGTCAGTTTGCATTTTTCCACCCAAGAGAGCAGGGCTAGTGAGTTTCTGTGTAAATTAGGTTCAAGTAAATCTGTGTGAATAGGATAATTCATATTTTATAGGATAATTGTTTGAGTTATATTTTACAAAGAACACTTCTGCTCAGTAAAATTGCAAGAGGGAAAGACAGGCAGATGAGATTGATGAGTTGATTGACCTTGGGAAAGCGGAGTGTCTCTGAGTAAGATCAGCTTAAAAGAAGCAGTAGAAGTAAAAAAACAGGGGGGAGCTGGCAGGAGAGAGGAAGAAGGAAGGCCACTTGAACAGCTGAAGGAGCAGCTGAACGAAGAAACAGAATGAAAATATGAAGATATACTGCCAGATGAAGTGAGAGGAGTCAGCACAGATATTTCCTCATGGGTGAGAGAAAACAGAAAAGAAACTGTTAAAGTTAAAGGATTGATGAGCCCTGAAATTCCAGAGGTTACAAGTAATAAGCAATGAAAAGCTGTTATACCTTTTGGGCTACATAAAAATATTTAACTCACATGAATTAAATGCTTTTGTAGAATAACTTTATTCAAGTTAAGACTCTCTGCTGTGCCATTCTGAATTTAAATATATACAAAAGGGCTACAATGCCCATCAAGAATGTCAAAGGCTACCAGTACAAAAAAGCACAGTCCCATCCCTGAATTCCTTCTCACCAGACTATACAATATACTAGAAGGTAATATTGACTAAAACCATCATGAAGTTGCAGCGTCCCTGCATATTTGAAACTGTGGTTCTTTAAGCAGTCATCTGTGTCTTCACATGTGTGGGTGTCATCTGTTCACACACAAAACAGGTTAGAAACTTTTAGAGCGAAATCAGGTATTTTGACAGGCGCCTCAGTTCTACAGGAATCTGCATGAATCAGCAGGGCTCCCACCTTCCCTTCATTTTATTCAGATTGTTGTGGTGTGGCAGTGGAGGGAGAACCCAGAGAAAGAAGCAGAGCAGATGGGGAGGCAGGCAGGTTGTGTGAGTACACAGATGACCACTCTAAAACCTACAGTTACAGCCAAGCAACCTGTTATTCACAATCTCTGTGACCCATATATGTGGGTGAAATAGCTAGTTACACTCACCAGGAGGAGGCTGCTTGTATAATTGAGTAGAAGAGGTGAGTATAGGATGGCCAAAGACTGCTTGCCTTCTAGTAAAAGAGTCAAGGCAGTAATGGCAGATGAACATGGACGGCTTGAGCCCATGTAGGTGACATGTACATGTCCTTGAGCAGATCTGGGGGACAGCCTTGGAGGTTGCAAATGTGCTTGTGGACCATGATCCACAACCATGGTCCAATTTGACTATCTCAACATGCTGAAATTGAGTATCATTTTTTTCAGCTCAGCATCACAAAGAAAAAGTCTGCAAGATGTGCGGAAGTGTTTCTCTTTCAGGACATAGACAGTGAGGGCTCTGCATACTTCTGGAGAATGAAGGGGTGCTCCCTCAGGAGAAGTTGAGGAGGTGTAGAATAGTGGTAAAACAATGGGCTAGTTGATACAAAAGGAGACCACCTGATCTTAGTGAGATAACGTCTTCATGGAATTGGTGAAAGCAAGGATCACAACACAGGGCAGCAGGTTCACTGGTTTTATGGGTGGCACTGATGGCTACTAGAAAGGCTGTTCTGAAGTCTAATATGTGGAGGTTGCAATGTGTACGATTTAAAGGACCTCCCTGGAAGCTGAAAGAGGGGAGATGAACAGTACCAGGGTGTAGTGGTAGAAAGCCTTTCAAGAAGGTTTCTATTTGCAGAGAGAGAAACCACAACTATCCAGTAGGGGATGGGAAGTAGTCAGAAATTGCTACAAGGTATACTTTTAAGTGCTTGACTAGACAACCAAACTGAAGCTGGCTGGATCAAGCTAAATAGGGTCACTTAGGGGTTGATAAGGGTGCAAAGAGGTGTGTGGTGCAATCTTTGCATTCACATTCCAGGATGGGGTGGGTTCAGCTTAGGAAACCAGACCACACCTCAAGCAATCCAGTTTAGCATGACTAAGATTGACAGGTTACCCACCTGCAATTGTATTTCTTCGAGTGGACCTCTGTGATTCACACCCCGGGTGATCCGTACCTGCGCAGACCCTCATCAGAAGGTTCTAGAGCTTCTGCGGTAGCAAAAAACACATTAGAATAAGGCCTCTCCCCGCTCATGTAAGTACCTTGGCACCAAGGCTCCCCTTTCAGTTGTGTCAACCGCCGGTACATGAAGCAGAATGGTGTGACAGTGGGGAGGACGGGTGGGATGTGTGAATCACAGAGGTCCAGAGATAGACCTTTAAGAAAACATTTCAATGTTAGATGCTTGAAGAAATCAGCTGCCAGAGAGTTAGGGGGCTGATAAGAAACTATGGCAGAGAGGTAAACTCTCAAGGAAGAGAGGGAAAGGCCACTAGACTTGAGATAAAGCAAAAAACGTAGAACAGTAGCAAGTGATGGATTTATCGAAGGCAATGAAGAAGCTTCAGTGAAAGATTTGAATCTGTTCCATTTATACAGGTAAGCCTTTCGAGTGGAGGGCTTCATTGATTGATGGAGGATGTTCATTAGCGAGGCGGAATTCTCCACGCTGCCAGGTGCAGAACAGGTAAGTCTGGGTAGAGTACTTGGGCATTGTTCTGCGTGAGAAGGTGGGCAGGTGAGGCAGGTGGTGAATGTCTGATGAGAGATTGTGAAGGACTGGAAATGAGGGTTGGCTCAGCCACCAAGGGGCTATAATGATGGCATCGGGTTTGTCTTGTTGCAGGCGAACCACAACCTTGTGGAGAAGCGGGAATGGCCAAAAAAGGTAAATGAGGGTCTTGGGCCATTGGCTGACGAATGCATCTCCTTGGGAGTGTTCGCCAATGCCGGCTCAGGAGCAGGATTGTTTGCACTTCCAATTCACACTGGAGGCGAAGAGGTTGAGAGTTGGTTTGCCCCACTGTTTGCGTAGGCGAAGAAAAACTGATTGGTCTAAATCCCATCTGTGAGCTTGAGAGTTTGTGCGGCTGAGTAGATCGGCCAAGTCATTGTCGTGGCTGGCAATGTGTAAAGCCATGAGACAGATATGATATGCTAGGCACCACTCCCAGAGGTCAACTGCTAAATAGAGGAGACTTGGAGATTGGGTGCCACCTTGTTTCAGAATATAATACATCTCCGTGGTGCTGTTGGTGGCAATGTGTACCATCTTGCCAGCGAGATTTCTGACAGCTTTGCAACTTTTATAACCGCCAACAGCTCTAATTTGTTGATGTGAAGCAATTTCTCTCTGGAAGACCACTTGGTGTGGATTTTGAGAGATTTGCAGTGAGCTCCCCAGCCTATGAGAGCAAGAGGAATAATTTCCCTTGTCTGGATTAGCGCGAAAATATCGGGAGGCTGGAGCTGTAAAAGCCTTGCATGTAGAAGAAAATTGCTCAACCGTCCTGGGTCTTTTAGGTGCCAGGTAGGGAGCAAGTTGGAGTTGATGTGGGTCATGGTGATAATAGGGCCATTTCGACACCGATGGCTGTCGAGATCGAGGCCTGCCATGAGAAGGTATGGCCGCAACTGGCTGATTGGCGGCTGCAGTATGTCCGGTTGAGAACTGGTCAGGGCAAATGGCAACCTGGTTCGAGTGCTGAACGTGTGTCTGAGCCACACGTGATGAAATAGATGGCTCCAGGGACTGTTGGGGCCGATGTCTCTGAGGAGGTTGTGGTGGACGATTAGATGTTACCGAATAAGCTATGGTCTCTAGTTGTCGTTTGGAGCTGACCCTGTCAGGTGAAGCAACTACAGAAGGGTTGCTTGAAAGAACAGACTGTTGAGGACTGGGAGGAGAAGATGTTAATCAATTGACTCTGTCCTCCCATTCCGGTGACTGGGAGCAGGGTTGATGAGAGGGGATTCCGTCATTGTCAGAAGGCGAACCACGAGAGATTGATTCGGTGGTTTGTTGAGGCTGCTGAGAAATTACTGCAGCTTTAGATTTATGCTATTTTGGTCTTTTAGGCGGAGAAGGCTCCGGAACTGAAGAGGCTTCGGTGGACATTTGTCGTTTGGTGGAGGACTTCGATATCGAAGATTTCGGTATTGAGTCCTTCGATTTATGGGTTTTTGAATATTTAGACGAAGTGGATGGAGTGTCAGAGTGGGATGGTGTGGTCGATGGATGTTGTTTTGAGGCTTCAGAAAGAGCCTTCTCCATTGCTGTGGTTTGTGAGGTGGCCTTACAAGGTGTTTGGGCCATTTTGATTGGTTGAAGGGATTGTTCCCAAATTTAATCTTTTAATCTGGATAAGCAAGAACGAAGGACTCAGTGCTTGAAGTTCTTACAATGCTGGCAGGAGGATGTCTGGTGTGCCTCTCCCAAGCAAAAAAGACACTTGCCGTGGCCCTTAGAGAGTAGTATTTTGTTATCACAGACGACGCAGTATTTAAACGGGCCCAAAGGGGCCATGAATAGGAGAAAATAATTTGAGGAGAAAAAACAATGATTGGGGAGGGGTGCTGCGGCCGGAGGCCAAGCAAAGCAGAAAAGAAAAATCTCTGATGATAATGGAATTTGAACTAAAAGTTTAAAGGACAAAAGATTGACAACAGGAAGGAATCAAGAATAAACTCTCTCTTTTACTCACAGAAGCAGAATTATGAGGCTCTCAATGCAGTGGTTGAAAGAAACTCAAAAGGAGAGCCTTGGCACCAAGGTACTTATACAAGTGGGGATGGGCCTTATTCTAATGTGTTTTTGGTAGCTGCAGAAGCTCTAGAACTTTCCAATTTGGCTCTGCACAGGCGCGGATCACCAGGGTGTGATTCACAGAGGCCACAAAGAAAAACTTCTTTCCCTTCAAAAGAAAAGAAAACTTCCCTCTGAAGAGAAAGACTTCTCGAGATTCTTAAGAGGCTGTCTATCCTTTTACAGAAATTGCTTAACGATCTTAAAATATTTTGCCTCTTAATGATACCATGCCCTTTTCATATGCAGTTTTTATAGAGATGGCCATACCAGACTTCTTAACCCTGTAATGAGAGATCTTCCAGGCAGGACCAAAATATCTTTTAGCAGATATGAATACATGAAGTATAGAACAAGTGTCCAAGTTTCTGCACAATGAACACGCAAGACAATTATTGCCTCTGTCATATAACACTTACTGTTTTTCAGCTACACCCATCCAATTTTAAACTGTTTTAATTAATTTTGAAATGTTTTAATCAGGTCTATAACCATACAATAAAGACTAAAACTGAATTGAAATTGATATTTTAATGATTAAAGTAAAACTGTTTAAGGGGAAGGAGGATAAAGCTTTCAATTTCCTTTTAATAGCTACTAACTAGCACTGTGCATCAGTGTTGCTTTTACAATTTGAGGAGGTATCAAAACAGACTTTTCCCAGTTCATAAGGAGGCTGACTTGTGAACATAGAATCTTATATATGAAGGCATAGATATAATCCTGAAATGGAGCAACTGTGAGCCAATTGTCAATGTACCATTCCTTTTAGATTACCTTAGTTCTGAGATGGGCTATTACTTCCGCCATACATTTAGCAAATACCTTTTGTGCAGCTGAAAGGTAGGACTCTGAACTGAAAGCAGTCCATTCTGAGGCCAAAACGGATGAAATAGCAAGAGGAGGACTGATAGTGATGTGGAAGTAGGAATCCTTAATGTAGCACATGAATCTTCAAGTGTGAGAAGGGCAGAATGGTAATTAGAGTGACCATGTGAAACTACCTGGCAGGATGAAGTCAGGGCCAGGGCAGGAGCTCTCATTTTCTTGAAATAAGAGAAGATCCTCCAGGTGACTTTCCTGCAGTAGACTGGCTCTATTGCTCCCTTTAGAGTAAAATGAAGATTTAGTCTCTTAAGCAGGAGTAGGTTGCATCAGATGGAAGTAGGTCACCTGGGGCTGTTTCTGGAACTTGAGGAAATAGCCTGAGGAGTCTATCATCAGCACACACCTATTCAAGGTGATATAATCCCATACTAAGAGGAAAGTGAGGACATTGTTCCTGAAGGGAAACATTGGAGGCAGGCATCAAAGTGAAGGGGGAAGAGTTGCAGTCTTGAGAGAAGGTGGTGGCAGTTGGCGAATCAAAGGTCAATGACACTGGAGGAGTTGTCATGAATTTTCTCAGTGAAGCCAACTTCTTCAGAGAAGACTCAGAACAGAGTGGCTTAAAGATGAAAAACATAGTAAGCTGAAGGGGTGCTTCGATCTGACGAGCAGTGCCAGAGAGATAATCTCTTGGTCTGAATTTGGTTGAAGTAATGCCAACACATTCAGTGTTGTGTACATGAACATCTTGATCATGATGTAATTGAGAGACCACAGATTTACAAACATGGTGTGGATACCAATATTGAAGGCTGTATCAGTGCTTAAGAGCCATGACTGAGGGAAGTGTGATGGTTAAAGATGGGAGTGTCAGAGCTACAATAAAAGGCAGGACTACGGTAAACACTGGGGCTGCAGGTTATGTTGATGTCAAAGCAGTGGGGATAGGATCTGCAACATGAAAGGCTAGAACAGTATGAGCAAAAAAATTTGTGAGCTGTGCTGCTCTTAAGGTAAGAGGATATTGTGAAGGCAGTGGTCTTGAAGCAGTATGTGTTGCTGTGGGATGTTGATATAGTGTTGGACATTGCAAAAATCCATCACTAATAATAATGGAGTAAAGGCAAGGAGGTAGGGGGCCATGAGGATCCTCTGCAGGAGATCAACACCAGCAACTGTTGAAAGGAAGGCTACTGCCAATCTCAGAAGGATCTTCATCAAGGTATTCAATTGTGAAGTGAATGTGCCTACCAACAACTCAATGGCGGTGGCAAGGGAACAGTCAGTTGCTCTTATACCTATCAGCATAACATAAGAAGGAGTAGTCTCAAAAGTATGTTGAAGAAGTGTAATGAAATCTATGGTGTTGCAAAGAGGATCCAGACTGAGACCTGTGAGGCATGTCATCCTGTGGGCAAGCACAGTAATGCTAAGTGGATCCATAAGCAAACCAATATCAAGAACAGGAATGGCAGTGGAAAGAGGAAAGGTGCAAGGCTCAACACTAAGTGAGCAGATAGTGGAGTAGTCTACTGACTATGGCCAACCAAAATATGACAAAAAGAATTTGTAGTAGAGAACCAATTGTCTTCCATTATGTCCTTGGACTTTTTGTTTGTCTTAGATGGAGGGAGATTATAAGCTTTGTCTCTCCTCGGAGTATGCTCTCCTACCAATGTTGTGTTGAGGTATTGACTGACTTCAATGATTAGATGACAGGGGATGCTGATGGATAGTTGCATGCAGAATTGTTCCATGGATAGACAAGTCTGGGCTGCTTGTTTGGAAGATTGAAAGCCTTTTTCACAAGACATCTTGAGTACAAGTTGTCAGTGTTTAAGGGCTAGTTTTGAGAGATGTTGGCCATTGTGGCTTTTTTCCACTATGTGTACCTCTTCTAAGCAAAAAAGGCCCTTGGAATACTCTTATGTTTGTGAAAGTTTAGCTCCAAATTGAACACCTTCCTTAGAAAAGGCTTTAGAAGCCATAACAATACAGTATATTTTTAAAAAATCTATTATCACAGAGAGAGGAAAATTGCGATAAAACTGAAGAACGGAGGCAGATAGGATTTTGAAATGGAGAAAACACTCAGCAAAAGTGAAAACAAGCTCTAATGTGCTGCAAACACTTGTAGGAGATTTAAAAAACAACAACTAAGAAGACAGCAGGAGTCCTGGTGGGGTGGGGCTCCCTCTATTTACAAATAGAATATCTCTCCCATGGGAAAAAAAAGAAGCTTTGGGGTTCTCTCCTTTGATGCTGCTTGCACAGTGGACAGTACAGAACTGAGCAAACAGCATTAGGGAAGAAGCTAGACATACACACTGGCTCTCTCTTATTAGCGGAGAGAATTCGATTAGGTCTGAAGTTCTAGAACTTTCTGAAGCTGTTTACAATTGAAAGGCCTTTTTCACAAGACATCAACAGCTTGGTAAATGGTAAATGGGATACTCCAGGAGATAGCATAAGAAGAGAAAACTCCTGGAGTCTTATAAACATGTTCAGTTACTCCATATCCACACAATTTTCTTATGTTAGGATGTGTAATTCAATACATTTAACTTGTCCTCCAATGCTGATATATACAAACCTCCGTGGCCTCCAAGCACGAGTCATCTTCTCGTTTGACTTTCTGATGATTTTCTGAAATCTTATTGTCTTCCTTGAAAGAAGAAATAGTGCCGGCCTTCTTAATTGTTTCCTTTTCTACGACCTTCAAAAAAAATTGATGTAAGTGAGCAAGCATTCATGACATATTGATGTAGGAAGCTGTTATTTCATCTAGGTTTAACTTTCTGTCACCTATTGGTTGGTCTGAAGAACCAGACTGACCTTTTTTTCCCTATTTGAAGCCAATTGGTTTGGTATTTTTCAATTGGTTTGGTATTTTTCATCTGTTCAATGCAGAATTGCTTGTACAGTGGTGCCTCACTTAACGGCAATAATCCATTCCAGGAAAATCACCGTTAAGCGAAAACATCGTAAAGCGAAAAAAAAACCATTGAAATGCATTGAAACCCCTTCAGAGCGTTCCAATGGGGTCAAAACTCACCGTCCAGCAAAGATCCTCCATAGGGCAGCCGTTTTTGCTGCCTGTCTTGCGAGGAATCTGTCCCAGAAAACAACGGGGAGCCATTTTGTTTACTCGGCGACCATTTTGAAACCGCCTATTAGCTGTTTTAAAATTGTTCTTTTGCGAAGAATTGCTTCCCGAAGCAGGGAACCGATCATCGCAAAGCGAAAAAAAACCATTTAGACCATCGTTTTGCGATCGCAAAAAGATCATCATAATGTGGTTTTGTTGTAATGCGGGGCAATCGTTAAACGAGGCACCACTGTACCTGAGCAGAATGCTTTAGCTTTTATACTGAATCCAAAGATGTAAGACAAGATAGCCAATGGCAACTCCTTGCCAGCATAAACCTGATCTTGCAGCCACAAGTAAAACTAACCTTGCTAAAACTAACCTTGAAGAAAGTGGAGGGGGGAAAAGCACTTTCCTTGCTAGAAAATGGAGGGGGAAAGCAGGAATCAAAACATTTTGATGATTCCTGTTTTCCCCCTCTACTTTTCTCACAAGAAAGTGCTTTCCCCCTCCACTTTCTTCCAAAGAAAGTGAAGGGGAAAAGCTGGAATAGCTTTGATGAATAGCTTTGATGATTCCTGCTTTCCCCCCTCCACTTTCTTCCGAAGAAAGTAATTCCGACAAGGCAGCAATCCATGAAGGAGGTCTTATACATGGGGGGCGTATAATACATGGAAAAATATGGTACATCATTTCCATGAAGTATAAACATTGCATTTGCCAATTTTATTATATTATTCCAATTACAAAATTTAAGGTTATACTATTCCAATTACAAAATTAATTGGAGAAAGGACTTTTTTAAAAAGAAAAAAATTCCTGTGATAACGTTTAAGTGCAATAAGCATACTTTATATCCTGTTCAAATTAGTAAAACGTTAAATACCAAGGGATTTGCTTTAGATGAGCTGAAGAGATTATCATCACCATCATCATCAGCACCAAAGAGCCCTTGTTCAGACGACGATTTTACCCTGGGCTTTGGATCCTGAAATTAAAAAAAAACATGGAGTGAAACAAATCAGGGTCACCAATCTCCTAGACCACAGTTCCTTGTGCTCTAAAATTAAGATACTAGTAGCAGGTTGCTGTGACTCTGGACATACTTTGTGTGTTCTCTTGCTGAGATTCTGGCTTAGTGTACACCGATATAAGACAAAGGCATTTTCTAAATATACACCTCTAAACCTCACAGTTAGGCTCTAATGAATGTTCTGTCATAGATAGGTGGAGAGAATTTTACTGCACTGCATTCAATTGAGATACTGTCTGCTATTTTTCTTTCTTTCTTTTAACTGAATGCATAATTAAACTCAGCTTCCTCTTAAAGACTTCTTTTTTACTGAAAAAGCAACTGCTGGCATTTTGTTGTGGCAATGAAACAGAAACACATATATTTCTAGGCAATTTTAAAATATGGAGTGAAAATTCTTTAAACGTAACAACTAGGCCTTGGACAATGCTTTCCAAAGTTTCTATATCACAATCACACCGAGTCAGATGATTTCTAGTTAAGTACTATGAAATCAACTTCACAGTGAGAACTCATTTGAAGGCAAACATTACAAAATTATATTAAACTGACTGACCTCTTTTTTGTCATGGGCAAAAAGATCCACATCAGGATCATTGTCCTTCTGTAGCTTACGACTGAAAAGAAGTTCTTCGTCCTGAAAGACACCTGTGCTTTTGGAACGAACACTTCCTACTGGGGACTGCAAAAGAAGTAAGTTTCAAGAGATTCTTGATATCTGGAAGACATCACGGAACAAACTGATCTTCTGCTAATTTAACCAGATAACTAAAACCAGGTCTACACACATCAACACTCTCCTGCCTTTCTCTCTAAAGTTCTCTTGCACTTTTTGAGCTAGTGCAACCAGCAAGAACCCTCAAATAAATTAAATGCTGTTTTTCTGCATCTTTGTTGTGCACAGGCACAACACTTCTAATACTTCTAAACCACTCATACCTCTAAATGTGGAAGCCTTCCCACATGCCTACCCCCATGCTCTCTGAAACATCTTGTATCCCGTTCCTGCTGCTAGCTTTGGTTTTGTCCTGGAGAGGGGAAACAGCTGCTTCTGCTGCCTAAAGCAAAAAGCGTGCTGCTTATATACCGCCCCATAGCACTTCAAGCACTCTCTGGGCGGTTTACAAGTTAATTATGTAGGCTGTACATTGCTCCTCCCAGCAAGCTGGGTACTCATTTTACCGACCTCGGAAGGATAGAAGGCTGAGTCAACCTCGAGCCGCTACCTGGGATTGAACCCCAGGTCATGAGCACAGTTTTGGCTGCAGTACAGCAGTTTAACCACTGCGCCACGAAGCTCAGAATCAGATTCTTCCACTGCTGGCTATTCTGATTCTTGCTGCTCTGCAGAATTTACTCTGTCCTTTCTACTAAGTGAGAAGATCTGTATGTTCCATCCCCATTAAGAAAAGAATTTCAAATTTCAAAGCTGCCAGCTACAAAGGATTTATGTCAATCTCCTCAAAGTATTGGATGATACTGTGATATCAGGCCTATGCTGTAAACCATGGGACAGATTTTGATGTGTCCTTTTCATGTGAACACATCACATATTGGTTTCAGCCGGGACAGATTTTGATGTGTCCTTTTCATGTTGTGAACACATCACATATTGGTTTCAGCTAACCGGAAGGTAAAAAACAGGTAACAAAATATCATAAAATAAACTACAGGTGTATGCCATATTGTCCTAAATTCACACATTCTTCCTCATATCTATGGGGCACATTTAGGGATCAACTAAAATTACTATTAGACTAGTATCCTGTTGCAGGGTGAAAGGGACACAATGTAAACTCCCCTCATCTGGTCCTGCAGGTTCCCACTTGCATGTCAGGTATTATAACCAGTATGAAAACATGTCCTAGGAAACTGAAGCCAAGTTCTGCACTTGGATACCTTGGTCATGATGTAATCGAGAGACCAGGAGTGTACATGCATGGGGACTAGTACTAGATGCTGAAACTGGTATCAAGGCTAAAGAGGCTGGGGCCAAAGTTAAGTGTGGTGGTACTGGAGCAGCAATAAAAGGCAGTACCATTGTAGACGCTGGGGCTGCAGTGTATGTTGATGTCGAGGCAGTGAAAAGAGGTAGATGTCTCCTACAAGGGTGTTCCAACTCTCCAATTGCTATGGTGCTATCTGGTTGGGGCTGAGTCACGAAGTGAGCAGGATGATCTGGCAAATTGCCTGTGCTCCAGTATATGCTACTGTCCATTAAACTTTACCATAATGTTTCAGAGCCACTCATTCAAAAAATAACTACAGTGGTGCCCCGCATAGCGACGTTAATCCATTCCAGGATTAATGTCACTATCTGGAAACATTGCTAAACAGAAAGAAACAGAGCTACCACTGTATCTATGGGGCACATTTAGGGATCAACTAAGTTACTATTAGACTAGTATCCTGTTGCAGCTCTGAAATGCTATCCATAGTGGGAGTTGCCTAGAAGTAAACATATTAGCAAGCTTCATGGAATGGCCAACTATGGTCTCCTGGTGACATATTTAGAGATGAAATCCCAGCTTCTCTTTAAAATTCAGCACTAAATCTATCAACTTCAGAGAACAAGCTGTGAAGTAACTACCAAGATGCTATCAACAAAAATATATCAGTTAACTATTTTACAGGGAAGTGGGAGTCTGCAAGTGAATACCTAGGTGTATGCCAAACTAAAAACTGGAACAGAAATAATTGTGAATTGTGAATTAGTTTCAGAATAAAAAAAAACAAACATCTTTTCAAAAGTGCATACAAACCCTTCCCAATCCATGTGCCAAGGTGGCCAAGAGTGCAGGATATCAGCTTCACTGAGGATACTTTCTGGACCTACTATGCATATTATTTACCTTTTCCTTCTGCGTGTTCTTATTAACATCCATATCTTCATTCTTTTCTTCTTCATCAAACAAACTGAATACACTTTTAATCTTTCTTCTATTATTCTTGTCCAAAGGAGCCTAAAAGTAAACAAATGAAGAGGGGTTATCAGTTGGCTGTAGGGCACATTGAACAAAATCCTGGAGCTCTTTTAAGTAATATGGCCTTCTCCAAGACAAAACAGGATTTATTGTGGCCATCACTATGTGGCCCTTTGCCCCCAGAAAACAACAGAGGACTAGAAAGGGCGTAACATTTTTAGCAGGAACCAGCCATCTAACTGTGTGTAAAGAGAGAGAGAGAGAAAGAGAGAGAGAGGGAGAGAGACAGAGGGGGGGGGGAATGGAATGATGAACAAAGAATGAAAAGGGAGATAAACAAAGGTCAAAACTATATACTACTTGCAGTGAGAGAAGTTCACCTTCAGAGTCTTTTGTCTGATGGTGTTGACCACACTCTGGACAGAAGAGAACTGAGGAGAAACTATGAGGGAGCAGTTGGACATACACAGTAGTGGTAGGGTAGGGAAAATAGCCGTCTGGCTTAACATTCTGAATTTTCTGAGGACAGATTCAGCACAGGTGCCAAAACCCAAATGTGTAATTTACAGAGACCATGAAGAACCACCAGATTTTTTTTCCATGCCACAGTCATAGCATTAAATTCAACACCAACAGATTTTGCCCCTTGTGAGTTACAGCGAGTGCACAGTAGTTGCCCCATTCCTAGAATTTAAATATACTGGCACAATATTTTTCTAGTGTTATGTTTTAATGTTGTATTGTATGAGGTAGCACATTGCTAGTGGACTAAATCTAGTGGTTCCAACTAGATTAGATCCATTGAATGAACAGCTTAATGCAGAGTGAATATCCCATGGATTCAACTGATCTACTCTAGTTGGGACTAATGACTTCATCCATGCCACTGTACTTTGCTTTTGTTTGCTGCTTTGTGTCTATTTTAATATTCAAAATTACCAAATTCTAGAACAACAGGTGTATTCAGGGCAATAATGCCTGTAAATGGTAAGTAGCATCTGGTTGAAAGAAGATGATGAACAAATTAATTATCTTAATAGAAGTTTGACCCAAAGCCTTCTAGGGCCCTAGTCCAAACAACCTGGCCACAAGACTGCACTACTCTCAGAACAGGTACCTTTTAAATAAGTTTATCAAGCCATAAAAATAAGTTTTCCTCACTTCCTCCTTCTTTTGCTGCTCTACTACATCTCCACCACCAAGATTAGAGCCACGAAGTATTCCAGGTTCATTCAAAGAGTCTGCTTTTTCTTCTACCAGTTTCTTCTGAGGTGTGTCTAGAAAATCCACCTGTTGACCAAGAAATACAGGGTGAGAACCTTAGAAAGGTTGTTGTTTTTAATAATGCAAAGAGGGAGTCATTCTAGAAACCATAAACATAGGCTGTATGTGAGAGGGTGAGTGGGAGAGAGAGAAAAAGAAAGAGGGTCTAACCTACAATTGCATGAAAGAAACAAATTAGACACCATTTTCACAGACAACACATTTTTTAAAGAAGGCCATGAAAGCCACAGAAGGGGAGCTACAGTATGATGGGGTTTTGTTTTTTTAAAGAAAGAGAAACAAAGAGAATAGAAGGGGAACAACTAAATGTTAAATGGTGAGTATTGATTAAAAATAAAGCTACAATGATCAGTTTGAAGAACTCATTGTAAGAACAGCCCTCAAGTTGCTGCTAGCATGGTGAATGAGAGGGAACTGAAGAAGAACCATTAGGAACTGGCTCAGCATGCGTGCTGGAGCATGGGGGGAGGAAAAAAGCTACAAAGTTCTAGAACATTCTAGAAATTGCCCTAGGCAGGTGCAGAATCCATGATGTGTGAGTTCACTGATGAACTCTATATCTATTCTGTGTGAATTCCTCTTTTTCATTGCTCAAAGACAGAGAACAACAAACTTCCGGAGGATAGCTTGACACAAAGTGTTAAAATATAGTTTGGAGCACTGCATATTTGGTCTGCATGCACCATTACCGAAGGGAGGTGGGATGGTTGAAACTTGAAAAGTGTGTCTCCATTTACCTCATCATCATCAAACAAGAGAGCAGCTTTCTGAGGTTTTCTTGGACTGCAGTGAGAGAGAAAAACACAAACCCAACAGATCTCTTAAATAAAGTTGTCAAATTTTAGCATTGTTGTTCCAGTATGCACTCTTATCTGTACATTTCGAATAGGCAACCTGCAAATCCTATCAGTAAATTTCATCAATAGTAGACAGCTAGGATCTTAAAATGCTTGTCACTGGAATCTCAGAGGAATAAATGTATGTTTTCCATGGCATTTTTGGACCTACAGTCCAGGAGAGCAATTTCCTACCTCTGTTTACCATGTGTGGTCCTCAATTTATCATAGTTAAAACTCTATAGATACACTAGTGAAATTCTTTATTGATTACATATATCATCTTCATTGGACAGATCAGCAAATCAGTTACTACCCATTATTCACCTGGCTCCTTCACTGGGTATCTTTAAGTAACAACTTAAGACCTGGCTATTTTGGCAGGCATTTCAAAATATCCCATCTACAAAGCTTACCTAAACTGTGGCTTCAGCCAAAGTACTATAAAATCACTGCCAATTTAAATGTTTACTTTTTATTCACTGTGCTGCAGCATGTATTTTTAAGTTTTATTATTTCTATTGCATAAGTTGTAGATATGTTGTTTTATGACTTATGAATATAATTGTTTTGATTGCTGTTGCTGTAGTTGTTGATGTTGTAAACTGGCCAGAGTGGCATTCAGCTAAATGGACAGTACAGAAACCGACCAACCGACCGACCGATCGACCTTCCTTCCTTCCTTCTCCCTCCCTCCCTCCCTCCTTCCTTCCTTCCTTCCTTCCGATTTACCCAAGACATTTATTGGCTAAGCAAATTATTTAAATTAAGAATTATCTGTAACTGCTGTTATAACAATGGTTTGCCATTGACAGCTTTTCTAGTTTCTCTTGAATCCAGTTTCTGCACACATGCAGTAAACTGCATGTGATAAACAGAAACTAATCTCAAAACATCCAACCCTTTTTATATGTCAATTATCAGTAGAAGTAGAAGGATCACTGGAAAGGTTCATTGAGCTTAGGTTTGGCTACAGAGGATTGATAATGCAAACAGTCATGTAGACAGAAATAATGGAGGATCATAATTCGGGTCTATTGATGCTATCTCCACTACCTCGAAACAAGACGTTCTAATAAAAACTGAGTTTGGAACAAATGCTGAGGATATCTCATGAGTTTACAAAGCAGCTTTCACTCATCTGTCCAACCACCTTTATTTTCCATTCCCCTTTGGGTGGTATAACTACTAACAACAAGGCTCTAATGGATATATCAAATGTTGGAATTTTGTAGCATTTCATGACTCAGTCTGTTGATGAGTGAGTGCAATAATTTATTCCTATCCTGATTAGTCCACTTTGCCAAATGATTCCGGAAATGGTAGTGGTCTAAGAGATGCTTGGGGGGAAAATAGTCTGCATTCCAGGGTGAAGACAACACAGCCTGCTTCCCTGCCTTGTTCACCAAGAAGCGAAGTATGTTAGCCAAATTTAGTGAGAAACTTAGGGAAAGTGTCTACTGGAAGCACTATAGGTTCTCACATCCTTTACAACACAAGCTTCAGAGTAACACCTGTATATCAAAGATGCTATCACCACAGTATTAAACACAGTGAATTTCTTACCAACCCACCACAATCTCTGTATTTTGATATTTAGATGTCACATATAAATATGTGCCATGTTATATCTCTTTCTCCTATGCCTGATGAAGTGGACTTGTCCACAAAACCTCACATCAAAAAAATAGAACAGTTAGTTTTTAAGGAGCCACTATGTTTTTGTCTTCTTTATTTGTTCTTTTATTTTTACCTATAATGCTCGCACAGACTAACACAGCTACGCCTTCTACAACTACTGGAAACACATAAGCCTAGAGATGAACTTCTCTCCTGACAACTCCTGATCTTCCAGTTAGGGCACACAGCAGACTCTTCTGAAAGGCCCTGGGAAGAAATAACTTACTGTGATGCTCTGCTCCCTATGTATGTCCTGCTTGGACCAGGTGGTAAGTGACCTGGAACGTTACTGGACTGAGAACTCAGTAGCTTTATAATGTACGTTACTGTATAATGTATGTTTAATTTGCTGTACACTGCCCAGAGTAGCAATTTGCTAGATGAGCAGTATAAAGATTGAATGAATGAATGAATGAATGAATGAATGAATGAATGAATGAATGAATGAATGAATGAATGAATGAATGAATGAATGAATGAATGAATAAATGAACAGCTATCATGTAAGCACTATTACATGCTATAGGGAGGTACACATAGCTCTTCTTTTGGTGCCTTTGTGTTTAGCGTAGCCCTGCAAGCAACTTTTGTGCTTGACTTCTTTTTATATCCTTTTTGTGTACCTTTCTGAGAGATAAACAGGAACATTATGTAATAGTCCTGTCACTTGCTGTAGATAGAACTAACTTAACCACTTGAAGCTTAGACAAGTCATCACAACTCTTCTCTCACCTGCTCCCCTCTCAGGTCTTGGGATGAGCTATCTCCCTGTTGAAATACATCAGAGCATCAACTAGATCATATAATAGTGGTAGCGTTGTGCGTTATGTGCTGTCAGGTCAGAACTAACTTACACCAACCCTAATACGGCTTTCAAAGTAAGTGAAATATTGAAGTTGTTTTATCAGCTCCAGGTCCATTCCCCACCCCCAAGTAAATTGTCATGGCCAAGAGGAGATTCAAATGAAGGTCTTCTAAGTCCTTTTCCATCACTTTATTGACTACCACTACACTGAGTATCTGCATGGTAGCAGAATGGTTCCACAAAGAAGACTGATGTCTCACTTTTGATGCACCACAGCTAAACTGAGACAGTGTGCTGTAAGAGTCACCTTTGCTGAGCTCCATACACATTACAAGAAGTTGCAGAATGGAAGAAGGGGAGACTTGGAGCAAAAGACTGTCTTTATTGACTAACAGGTCCTTGCAGTTCCTGGAGGACAAGGTGCCACTAAGAAGATACAGTCGGTGTGAACTTGTCTATTACTCATTGTCGAGCCTTAGGGAAATGAACAAAGACACCACAGAAACAGAGGAAAAAGGAAGGGACCTATCAATCATGGTGGGTGGTTCCTGGAGGCATTGATCCACAGTTGCTCCAGTCCTTCATGTAGGGGAAAACTCAGAAGGTGGTGCTAGGATTTTCTTGTTCAACACCATGTGGAGTCCCTTAGGGTTCTGTTTTGTCTCCCATGCTATAGTAGGGGAAAACTCAGAAGGTGGTGCTAGGCTTTTCTTGTTCAACACCATGTGGCTGTCTCCCATGCTATTTAACATACACATGAAACCACTGGGAAAGGCTGTTCAAGGTTTCAGGTTTGGAGTCATTGATACGCAGATGATACCAAACTCTCTCATACACATGAAACCACTGGGAAAGGCTGTTCCAAGGTTTCAGGTTTGGAGTCATCGATACGCAGATGATACCAAACTCTCTCTCTCTCTTTTCCATCTAATTCCAAGGAAGGTGTTTTGATTCTTAATCAGTGTTTCATGTCAGTAATGAAGGAATGGATCTATCGACGATGGTGTCCTTCTGGACCATCTCTCTAAGGATGAGGAGGCATTGTTCTACAGTGGCTCTGGTCCTTCCTGGAGGGCCCTAGATGATGCTAGGAGAATAAACTGAAGCTTAATCCAGACAAGACAGAGGTGCTCCTAGTCATTCGAAGGACAGATCGAGGAATAGGGTCTAAACCTTTTATGCTCCCCCTGAAAACACAGGTCCACAGTTTGGGTAGGAGTGTGCCTGGATGTTCAGGTCTCAGTGGCTAGGAGTTTACTTGCAAGTTAAAACCAATGCACCAGCTGCACCCATTTCTGGAGATGTCTAACCTGGTCACAGTGACACATGACTTAAGTTACATCCCCTCTGGATCACATGGAATTGTTTTAGAAAATGTTTGGGAATTTCAGCAGATCCAAAACGCTGCAGCCAGATTGCTAGCCTGAGCTGGTTACAGGAATCACATAACTCCCATTGCAACAGCTCCAGTGGCTGCCAGTCCATTTTCATTCACAATTCAAATTGTTAGTTTTGATTTAACAAATCCTAAATGAGTTGGATCCAAGCTACGTGAGACCTATGTTAACCTGGAGAAGCCCCTCCTCTTTGTCTCACCACCCTCACGGGTGCACTTCGTGAGGACACGAAGGCTTTCTTCACCACCGCTTCCAAGCTGTGGAACTCCCTTCCACAGGAGGTCAGGCTGTTCCACCTCTTTAGCATCTTTCTACAAACCGGCAAAGGCTTTTCTCTTCAGGCAGGCATTCTCTTAGTGACTGGCTACCTAAGAATTTTTTGCTTGCCTGCCCGTTTGCTTGTTCTGCTTTGCTTCTTGTTTGCTTTCCCCCTCGCCAGTTTTTATACTGTTGTTTATTTTTAATGTTCTAAGCACCCTGGGTTCTCTTGAAGAGAAAGGTGGTATATCTACTGGACATATTTCAAATGAATAAATAAATAAACTCAAAGGTGGGGGGGGAAGCGGTCTATAATGCTGCAACAGCAAAAAGCCCTTTTGCTGACGGGCATCCTTTGCTGGCCTTTTCCCACACTTGACACAGTTGATCCAGCAGAAAAGTTCACCTGTTTCATGTAACAACATGCTCAGCTTCTCCTTCCTGTATGAGAGACATGCCAGCTAGCTAGTCTATGGTAGCCTCCCAATACAAACAAACTGTCAACCCATTCCAGCTGAGGGCAAAAAGATGCTGGTTGCTGCTGTCCTGACACTTGTATCACCCACACAAAAACACTGAAGGCTGGGTGTTTTGTATAGACCCACTGAGAAACATACCGTTTCAGCTAAGTCCCAATCCTAGCTAAGTTTTTCAGAATGGGGGACAAAAAGGAATTCTGACAAAAGAAATGATGAGAAATAGAAAAATATAGAAAACCAAATATAGTTTGTACCCAGGGAGTAGCAACTATAAGGAAGCACGACTTCAAACCTGCTACCCAGTAGGCTTTGGACAGTGGACTCCTTACGAGGAAGTCAGTCACTGGCTGCTCTGCCTTCTAGTTGATGTGAAGGGTCATTCCAAACAGTAAAGAATCGTCTCACTGCTCTTCTCAGAGAGATTATTCCTATTCAGGAGGTGAGGCTGAGGAGCCTAACGCCGAGGGAGGCCCAAAAGGAAAAAAACAAGAAACCGGGCCTTCTCGGTAGTGGCTCCTCGCCTTTGGAACAACCTCCCTTCTGAGATTTGTATGGCCCCTTCGCTGGGCATTTTCAAAGGCCAACTGAAAACCTGGCTATTTAGGCAAGCCTTCCCTCCAGCCACCTCTTGATTTATTTTGCTTTTTTCATCTTGAGTCCTTGTCTATTGTTGTATTGCTTGTTTTATATTTTAAAGGGTTTATTTTTATATGTTGTTAGCCGCCCAGAGTAGTCAGTGGACTAAATGGGCGGGGTACAAATTCAATGAATGAATGAATGAATGAATGAATGAATGAATGAATGAATGAATGAATAGCAATCTGACCCGGCCAGTAAAATATTGTAAAAATATATATACATTAACTACCCCAGACATTTGAGGTCCTTGTACAAAGGCATGCATGCTGCCATTTGTTAAACCTTGCACAGAAAGGTCGGTTAAGGGACAGCAACAAAAGCGTAGTTTAATTAATTTTAGTGAACTAGGTATTCACCATTATGAAAAAAGTGTGAATGGAATTTATTGCTCTTTCTGTAAATTCTCCCTTTCCATATCTGAGTGCACTCGTTAAGCGAGGCACCACTGTACACACATACATACACACATACATACATACTGCATAGGGTGTCAACTCATCAAATCTGAATGGAACCTCAAATATACCACTAAGAATGAACTTTGTCATATTAGGTCACATTAACTTTCATTCTTTCCCTACACAGAACTGTTCTCAGTTACCTCTTTCAAAGTTTCGGTTTGGAAAAAGTGGTACAAAAGTGATCTCCCAAAAAATCTTACTTTAATGTCTTACAGGCGGGGAGTGGAATTAAGTGGTGTGTTGAAACTGTACTACCAGAAGTTTTATAGACATGTTGAAACATATTACCTCTCTTTAGTGATAGTAAACAAATCTTCCTCCTTCTCTTCAAAAAGGCATTTCTTTATATTGTGGCTGACAGCCGCGGTAGCATGTACTGTTTTTTTCGTTTGGCTGCATTCAGATGCAGGTTTGACTTCTTTGGTGATATTCCAGTGGTCCTAAAAATATAGACATTATTTGTACCATTGTTATTCTACAGGTTGTCTTTTTTTCCATTCCAAATTTCACAGGAAAAAGAGTGCTATCAAGATGCATTACAAGATATAATAGATGAGAAAGTATGAAAAAAAAATAACATTAATTTAGGAAATCAAACCATTTCCTCAACATGTCTTTCTTAAGACACTTGAGGATTTAAAATTTATAAAGCTTCTCAATCATTCATTCATCTAGACCAGGGGTCTCCAAACTTTTCACGCAGAGGGCCACATAATATATTTTTGATATTTCCAGGGCTGAAGGATATGGGAGCCATGCCGCCTATCTTCTACCACACAGAGTCTCTCAGTATTAAATTCTATATTTAATCTGGTTTGATTCTTGTATACCCAGCTGTCCCTTTAAGAACCTCTATAGAAGTTACCTCCTCGTCACTGCTGAAGAGTACACCAGTTGCTTTCTCTTGGGGTGGTTTTGATACTTGTGTCTTAGGCAAAGGTCCAAAGAGATCCTAGAAGACACGAACAGAAGAAAAACTGTAATACAATGGAGAATCCAGCTACTCTCTCTCTCTCTCTCTTGGGTTCCATAGTTTCCTCATCTGAATTTATACATCATCCAAGCAACAGAAATAGAATTAGTAATAGAACACTACTTAACTTCAAACACCTGGAGTGAGAGGACAGACACTAAAAAGACAGATTCCTTGCAATAATTCTCTAATGGTTGATGTGTGCAGCCAGGCATATTCGGTCCTGTTCCCATGCAGAGCAACATTTAGAACCTTCTGAAATGAAATCATGGAAATTTTTGTGCATACTCTTAATGTGCACACTAGAAGGGAATGGACTCATGCACCTTTTTTTCTTTTCTTTCTTTCTTTCTTTTTTCTTTTTTTGCTTGTTGTGGCAGATAGTTTTGATCCGGAAAATGGAAAATGGAAATTTTTGTGCATACTCTTAATGTGCACCCTAAAAAGGAATGGACTCATGCACCTTTTTTTTTGTGGCAGATACTTTTGATCCGGAAAATGGAAAATATAATTAAGGGAACAAAAACCTGATTGCAAGCTCCATGCAAATTATGATGAAGACTAGATGATCTATAGCAGTGGCTCTCAACCTTGTGTAACCTAGGTGTTCTTGGAGTGCTCTTGGACTGCAATTCTTAGAAGCCTTCACCACCAGCTGTCCTGGCCGGGGTTTCTGGGAGTCGCAGTCCAAGAACACCTGGGTTACCAAAAGTTGGGAACCACTGATCTATACTAATGGCATGCCAGGCACGGAGTCTGGCTCCAAACGCAGAGGAGCAAAATTTGTAGACATGGGCAAAACTGGATCTTTGGGGGTGACTGGATGCCCAGACATTCAGAGCAGAAAGAAGTTTCCTCTTCCCACATGTCCCATTTTGCAGACACATCAGATGTGCAGAGGAAATGAGCAGTGTGTGATGGAGTCAAATCAAACTAGTAAAGTCTGTTCACTGCAGTTAAAGTCAACTCACAAAATGTTAAGGTAAATCAAAATTAGATGGGAAATGAGAAGAGAACATAGGATAGCTCCAGGTGTCAGATATTGAAGTATGAAGCTGGAATACATTCCTCCAACTCTACACCATCCCAAAGGCTAAAGACTTGTCTGCCCTTGAGATTTCAGGTAAAGGTTCCTAAGGTTGCTAGGTATGTCCAAAGAATGTTGGGACCATTCTTCTTGGGTGGGACCAGAGAGATCTGAGAAGTTCTATCTTTGGTCCTCACCACACTCTAGTTTGTTAATACAATCCGTGAATCATATTGCCTTTTCTTTCCTTCTGTTTCCTTCAGTCTCTCTGCTTCCTTCCTGTCCTGTTCTGTCAACAGTACACAAGGCTCCCTCTCATTTTCCAAGCAATTAATACCACTGAAAAGTGTCCAATACAAGCACCCACTGACTAATTAGGAAAGTGACACTGATTCCAAGTGTTTCCAAATCTCAGAAGTAAGAATAACATTTGCCAAAACTTATTTCATCTTTCAATGTCAACTTTATTCCCCACCCCCCACCCCAAATCCTATCAGGACAGCTTTCCCATCTATAAAGACACAACATTCCCCCGAAGAGGCAAGAAAAGGAATCAAATAACAAAAAGACTATCCAGGGACCTACAAAGGAGACAAGAGAAACAAGGTCTTCAGTCAGTCCGAAGATGCCGGCTACAGAGACTGGCAAAACGTTATGAAGAACAACTTTCAGAACACGGCCAAAGAGCCCAAAAAACCCCCAACAACCATTTTCCCGGCCATGAAAGCCTTCGCAAACACATCTTCAGTCAGTCTTTAGGCATTATGCTGTGAAGATCTACATCAATTCATACTTATATATTTTGTGAGACCTATCTATCTTGAGGCAACACATACCTCTTCATCCTCATCCTCAAAGAGTGATACTTGTGGTTTTGTCGTCACTTTGTTTGATGATGAAGATTTATTTCCTTTACTGGACTGATCGGAAAATAATAAATCCTGCTGGATACAAAACAAAGTTGAATTCATTGTAGTTGTTCTTTGCTTCCAGAAATGCATCTACCTATCCAGCGGAATATGTCAAATTGCCAAATTGGAACTGGGCCTCTACTTTTGCAGCAAAATAGCAGTGGATTGCAGAGGTTTCTATTTCCTGCCAGAACTACAGAGGTGGAAAGGTTAATAGTGCATACCCTTCTAGATTTTTAAACAACTTGGCACAAACAAGAGTTGGCCTCAACTCTGAGAGGGAACGAAAATATGTGTGCTAGTAGCACTAGGCTTCACAGCTCACATCTGTGTTAAAAGTGAACCCTGACAAGCTGCACTCTGGCACACGTGGGCAGAAAAAGGTAGATGAAGGAAATGCAGTCATGTTATAGTTCCACTGTCCAAGCTAGCCTTCTGTTTGACCTATAAGCCCAAGCTAGTCCTAGCCACTTGAGCCATGTCAAGTGAAAGGGGCCTGAGAACATTGCCATGCTCCTTCTTCCTTTTTAGAAAAGCAAAGTTGTTTGATTCACATCCAGCGCTTGAGGAAAACAGCAGGGATTCGACTGAGTTGGCAGGAAGGTGTATGCACAAATTCCACGACACAACTCATTTCCTATTGCACACAGGAGAGCCTATAATTCTTTTCCAACTTGTGCTTAGTACATTATAAAGAAAAAAAATTAGGTGCATTTTCAATCTACACCCAAATTCAGATAATCTACAGCAGTTTATTAGCAAATAGTACTGTGATCTCTTGTAGCATTCATAATAACATTTATATTTGTCATGAATTGCTTATCCTTCAAACACCATAACTATTGAGTCAGTTAAGACATTGAGATTGTAGCTGCAAACTTCAGAGACTCATATCCGATACATGACAGAACACCTGGCATTTGGGATACCTATTCACCCAGATATCTATTATGTAGCTCATTTAGTATGAAGTAACAACTTACCTCAGAATCCTCTTCATCTGAGAAAAGGCTTATCTGGCCTTTGGAAGATGTTTGCGTTAAAGGCTTGAAAATCTCAGCAGAATCCGGTTGACTCTTTAAAACACAGACATAACACACACCAGTCATTAGCAGTCTACCTTGAATCAGTCATAAGATGACAATTTTGCAAAAACCTTGGAAACAAAGTATTACAGGAAAATTTGGTGCTCACTGGCTGCTCATATGAGAGAAGACCATGCACCATCTTGGAAAGAAAAGAGCCTAAGGGAACAGTGGCCATGGCAACATGTGTCGTTCCCAATAAACCTCTCTCCAGGAGGTATCACCTGTGAACGGCTTCTCCAAATTGTACATCAACATGAGAAACACACGCCTTTGCAGGCCACATATGGCAACTATCTACTGCTGTAGACTCCCAACCCCTAACATTTTTTCTCTCTTAAACATATTCCATATGACCGATGAACACTCCCATTGCTTCCGTTAAGCAATGTGATGGAAAGGAGTTTTGTTCTCCTGAAAGGAATGGGCAGCAAACATTGAGGCAAGATGTATTTTTAGGGAGAGCAAAACGGCATTTTAAAGATATGAATCCCCACTCCCCACCCCACCCCAGTTTCAGTACAGTATAGCTAGTCTCTGCAGCCATGGAGAAGAGATACAAGATTTACCTGTAATTACAGTGGTGCCCCGCTTAGCGATTGCCTTGTTTAACGATGTATTCGCTTAGCGATGAGGTTTTTGGAGCGATTTTGTGCTCCATTTAACAATGTTTCCTAAGGGGAAATTTCGCATAGCAATGTTCAGGACCTTGCCTCGCTTAGCGATGACAGTTTTAGGTCCCCTGTTTCACTTAGCGATGTTCCGTTTTCGCTATTTTTAAAGTGTCTTAAAAGGTTCAAAACGGTTTTAAATGTTTGGGATCGTTAGTGCACCTTCTAAAATGCGTGCAAACTTAATTTGGCTTTGTTCTGACTCTTCATTAATTTTTGGTGAATTCTTCCCCCCATTGAAATGCATTGAACTCGATTTTGACAGCTGTCAAACTTAGGTTCAATGCATTTCAATGGGGGGAAAATTCATGAA